AAATAAACATTAAAAAATTTTTTTTAAAAAGAAGTCAGAAATGGAAGCATACTGTTGTTGACAGTATTTAAAGATAGACTGTGGTAAAGATGCATATTAAGATCTCCAGGACAGCCACGTGTGGAAGGGAGAGACGTGTAGAAATAAGCCAAGTGTAAGGTAAAATTGAATACACAAAAACACTTAATAAACCCCAAGTAAGGCAAGGAAATAGGAAAAAAGGAACAAAGTACAGATGAAATAGATAGAAAACAAACAAGGCATAGATTTAAATTCAACCACATCACTGCTTACCTTGATTGTAAACTCCCCACTTAACATCAGAAACTAATATTGGAAAGAAAGCAAGACCCAACGACGTGCTTTACAAACCTTTTTAAAGTAAAAAGACAGAGAGGTTATAAGTAAAGGGGTAGAATAAGGCAGAACACGTGAACACTACTCGGAAGAAAGCTGAAGTGGTTCTCTTAACATCAGAAAGACTCAAATTCAGAATAAGGACCATCACGAGGAGAAAGCAGAGAGAGGAGCGTTTCAAACTGGTTCACTGGTCAGTTCATCAAGGAGTCATGGCAATTCTAAGTCCCCCGGCTGACGGAGCTTCAAGACCCATAAAGCAAAAGCTGAGAGCCCTAATGGAGAAACGGACAAACCCATCATGGTGAGGAGATCTCAACCCTTCTCTCAGTGACAGAGAACAATACCCACCAAGACGGGAAGGCTGTAGGGGATTTGAAAAGCGGTATCGACCAACGTGACCTGACTGAGCAGTTTTTAGAACGCTCCGGCCAACGTTATTTGAAAGTGCACACAGAATGTTTGTCAAGATGGAACATATTCTGAGCCATAAAACAAAGCACAACAGGATTAAAATGGTTTAAATAGCGCAAAGTAACTTTTCTAACCACAGTGCAGTTAACCCAGAAATCAACAACAGAACTAGACTTGAACAATCCCCAATATTTGGCTTTTAAACAGCAGGCAATCCTTAGGTCGAAGGAGAGATACAAGATAAATGAGAAAAATAATTTGAAGTTAGAAAATGAAAATGAAAGTACAACATATCAAAATTTGGAGGCTGCATATGAAGAAGGGCGTAGAGGTCAGCTTATATCACTAACTGTTTACATTAGTAAAGAGGAAAGAAATCAGCTGCCTCCATTTCCATCTTACTGAACTATAAAAAAGAAAAATAGCAAATTAAATCCAGAGCAAGCAGAAGGAAGGGAATAAAGATAATACCAGAAGTAACAAAATAGAAGCAGAAAAACAGCAGAAAAAAAAAATCAATGAAAATAATCAGTTGATAATCAGTGAGCCAGACCAAATAAGAAAAAAGAAAGGAAACAAAGAACAAATATTAGAAATGAGACAAATTGAAAAGGAAAGGAATGCTAAGAGAAGGTTTTTAACAACTTCATGGCAATAACGTGTGTAACTCAGACAAAATGGACACTTCCTTTAAAGACACAAGCTGCCAGAAGCTTCCAAGAAGAAGTAAACGACCTGAATAAGTCTACATCTTTATAGAAATTGAAATTATCATTGACTGAATTCTTTGGATTCCACAAAGAAAAAAACAGGCCCAGACGACTTTGTGGATACATATCCCTAAACACTTAAGGAAGAAATAACATCAATTTACACAATCTTTTCCAGAAGACAGAATGGAGGACACACTCCCCGACCTATTTGGTGAGGGCAGCATTACTCTGTACCCCAACCAAGGAAACGTATTATGAAGAAAAAAAAATAAACAGACCAATAAACCACAAAAACTCTTAACAACATACTAACAGCTTAAATCACATGTTATACAGAAAGGACAGTAGTGTATCATGTGTAAATAGGGTTTATGCCAGGGATGCAGGTTTGTTCATCATTTAAAAATCAATGAACAGCAACAACAAAAATCAGTTAATGGAATTTACCATACCAGCAGACTAAACAGAGAAAGCACTATCATCAACTCAAATAGATGGAGAAAGAGCATCTGGCAAACTTCAATATTTATGCATCGTTGAAACTCTTAGCTAAAAATAGAAGAGAGCTTCCTCAACCTGAAAAAGACAACCCATGAAACACCTATATCTAATGTCATACTCAACGGCAAAAAACTGAACGCTTTCCGCCTGTGGGTGGAACAAAGGCAAGGATTTCCACTCACCATTTTTTTCAACATTGGGCTGAAGGTCCTACTCAGTGCAATAAGCATGAAAAAGCAACAAAAGACACGTAGATAAGAAACCACGAGTGAAAACTATTTACAGACAACATGATTGTTGATGTAGAAAATCCCGAAGAATTTACACGTAAAAGCTCCTAGAACAGGGAGTGAGTTTAACATAGCCATAAGATGAAATATCAGCGTACAAAAGTCAATGCAATGTCTGTATACTATCAATGAACCATTCAAGAACAAGTAAATTGAAAAGTTCTACTTACAATGGTACCAGACCAAAACGCAGAACAGAAATAAATGCATTGATATAAATCTCCCAATATATGTACAGGATCTGTTTGCTGAGAAACGCAAAATACCGATGAAAAAATGCAGATATGCCAAGCACATGGATTCAAAGACTCAATATTGTTAAGATCTCCCCAAACTGAGCTGTATGTAGATTTAGTGTAATCCCAATCAAAAATACCAGCAGGCCTTTTTTTTTTTTTTTTTTTGGTAGAAATTCAGTTTCTAAAGTTTACATGGGAATGCAAAGGACCTAGAATAGTCAGGACAATTTTGAAATTGAAGAGCAAAGTTGGAGGCTTCCCATACGTTACTTTAAGACTTACTTTAAAACGACAGAAACCAGACAGTGTGTTATTAATGTAAACACAGGCGTACGCATTAATGGAACAAAATAAAGAGTCCAGAAATATTCTCGCACATATACACTCAATTGATCTTTGACCAATTTGCAAAGACAACGCAATTGGGAAAGAGTCATCTTTTCAGTAGTGGGTCCTGGAACAATTGGACATCAATATGCATAGAAGTAAACCCAACTATTACCTCCTATATGTATAAAAAGTAGGTGTGGGCACCTGGGTGGCCCAGTTGGTTGAGGGTCCGACTCTTGATTTTGGCTCGGGTCATGATCCCAGAGGTCATGGAATGAAGCACCAAGTTGGACTCTGTGTGAACATGGAGCCTGCTTAAGATTCTCTCTTCCTCTGCTCTTCTCCAGATCTCTCTCTCTTTCTCTCTCTCTCTGTTAATCTCTCTCTTTTACTCTCCCTCAAAAAAAAAAAAAAAAAAAGTAACGAGACATGATTCACAGCCCTGAATGCAATAAAACCAAAGCAATAAGAATTCTAGAATATGTAGAAGACCTTTATGACATTGAGTCAGGCAAAGATTTCTTAGATGTGGTACAAAAAGTATAAACCATACAAAAGTATAAATTTGACTTCATCAAAATGGAAAGCTTTGCTTCTTTGAAACACACTTAAGAAAATGAAATGGCAATCTGAAACCTGGAATAAAGCATTTGCAAAATATATGTTAAATAACGGACTTCTCTCCAGAATGGATGGCAAAAAAATTCTTACAATTCAATCATAAGGAGACAAATGACCGAATCAAAAATGAGCAAACCATCTGAACAGACACTTCACCAAAGAAGACACACAAATGACAAGTACATTAAAAGATGTTCATCGGGGCGCCTTGGTGGCTCAGTCAGTTAAGTGTCCAGCTTCGGCTCAGGTCATGATCTTGCAGTTCGTGGGTTCGAGCCCCGCGTCGGGCTCTGTGCTGACAGCTCAGAGCCTGGAGTCTGTTTCAGATTCTGTGTCTTCCTCTGTCTCTGACCCTCTGCTGCTCACGTTCTCTCTCTCTCTCTCTCTCAGAAATAAATAAAACATTAAAAAAATTAAAAAAAAAAGATGTTCGTCAAGTCTGGAAATACTTAAAATGTGGAAGGCTAACGAGGCACTCAGAAAATGATGGGGCCGTAGCCAAGGAGCAAGGAGTGAGTACGAAGGGGCCCCAGAGATAGAGTGGACATGTGGAGCAGTGAAATGGACAGTAGTAGTATTAGATTATAACCCACAGTGTCAACTAAATACCCTGGGGTCAGTACCAGTACACATACACATTGAATAAATAAATGGGCGGGAAGGCACTGCCCTTCTTACAGTGGAATTCTAATTAATCAATGTACAAGACATAAGGGAAATAGAAAGTCACTATTATGCAGACAATATGATAATTGCTGCCGGCAGGAAGCATGAATAGATGCTAGAGTTACTGAGTGAAAACAATGAAGAAAAATGGGATTTTTGCCTAGTCTCTGTGCATCTCCCCACAAGATAGTTACTAATTTGGAATGGGTAATTTGCTTGCAAAGGAAAAAGTGACTTGACCGTGGAGCCACGTGCTGGCGGCCACGGGATTGAGGCATTGTGCACGAACGTCATGCATCTCTCCTGTGCTGTGCTTGCCCCACAGCTCCAAACACCGTCTATCTATAAGGAGACATCAAAAGAGCTCACTTTGAGGGACAGTCTTTAAAGTAACTGACCGGAACTCGTCAAAAGCGTTGAAGTCAGGAAAGACAAAGGAAGAGGAACCGATACAGAGTAGAGAAAATCAAGGACATCTGACGGCTAAATGCGAGGTGGGAGCCAGGACCGGATCATGGACAAGAAAAGGAAAACTGGCGGGGAAACAGGCGAACTGGGCTCTAGATTGGTTACTTCGTGGAAGCGCGCCGATGCCCATTTCTTGGCCTCCACAACCACACGCTGGTTTTGTAAGATGAGAGGAAACGGAACTGAAGGCACGGGGGACCCTGAGCAACTCTTACGTGGATCCAAAGTTATTTCAAAGTAAGAATGACATTTGGTAGGAAGAAAATGCCAACTTGATGAGTCATTATGGAAAGATTAATTAAAAGCACAATGAAATACGATGCACCTTCAGATGGCTAAAAGGGACGAGGCTGACAGTAGCAAGTGCTGACGAAGAGGTAGAGGAACAGACTTTGTTCTTCCATTTTTTTAATCTTGGTGAAATATACTCTGATGGTTCATGTCCGTCTGTGTCTGTGCAGGTGTTTCCTTCCCGATGAGATTGGCATCTGAAGTGGCGGATCAGAGAAGTGGATGGCTCTTCCCCATGTGGGTGGGCCTCGCCCCATCAGCCGTGGGTCTGGACCGAACCAAGGGGTGGGGGAGGGGAGGAATTCACTCCTTTTGCCTCCTGTCTTCAGGCTCAGACTGAAACGACAGCAGGAGCTTTCCTGGTCTCCCGCTTGTAGATGGGAGACCGTGGCAGTTCTCAGCCCCCTAAGTGCTGCCGCCGATTTCTTCTAACGAATATCTTCGTATGTATATGTATGTTCTGTTTCTCTGGAGGTGCCAGACTAATACAGACACATAACATAAAATTTGCCGTTAGACAATTACCGCATTCGTAGTGTTCTGCAGCCGTCTCTACCACCTAATTTCAGAATACCTTTATCATTCCAGTGGAAACCCTATCTCCATTAAACCGTCACTTCCTAATCCTCCCCCACCTCCCGCTCTAAAATGTACCTGGGAGTTTTTTACTCAGTAGGACACAGACAGAAATGATTGTCGCGAAGGAAGGTGTCTTTACACTCATGGATCCTTAGACACAGGAGGCAGGATGTGCCCCATGCAGGGCCTCGGAGGAAGCACCAGGGTCAGCCAGGAGGCAGAACTGAGGGGGACACATGGGCAAGAGCCTTTATTACGGTTTTTGCGGGAAAGGCAAGGTGAGGCGGGGTAACAAGTTGAGCAGATTTGGGCTCGAGTAGTTTAAGACTTCAGCAGGCTCCCGTCTATGGAGGAGGCCCCTACCTGTCAGGAAGTAGCCCTGGGCTGATTTGGAGCAAGAAACACCTTCCAGACCCGGAGTCTGATTAAATGCATTCAGGGTGTTTGGTTGCCACATCAAAAGTGTGCAGTTAGCTAACTCTCTGGGAAGGGCAATCCTTCCTGACCAAGGTCCCCAAACGTCAAAGGATCATAGCACAAAGAAAATAAAAAACGCAATTAATAACACCTCCTCCTCCCCCCCTCTGACAGCTACGAATATGCTTTCTGCCTCTACGGATTTGCCCGTTCTGGGCAGTCCACAAAAACGAAGTCATGCGTTTCAAGGTCCATCCACGTTGTCGCGTGAACCTGTACCTCACTCCTTCATCGACCCGAGTACCATTCTACTGAAGGGTTACACCACGCTTTATTTATCCGACCGTCCGTCCATGGCCGTTTGGGTTATTTCCACACTGTGGCCATTGTGAATAACGCGTGAACATCTGTGAACAAGGTTTTGTCTGAACACCTGTTTTCAGTTCTTTTGCGGATGTACTCAAGGGTAGGATTGCTGGATCCTACGGTCGCTCTCTATTTGACTTCTTGAGGGGCCGCCAAACTGTCACCCGCACTACCCGCGCCATCCCGCATTCCCACCACAAAGCACGAGCGTTCCAACGTCTCCGCGTCTTCGCCAACATGTAGCAGCTTCTATTGTCTGATTGTAGCCGCCTGCGGCGGACCTTGTGCCTCGCTGGTGGGGCACGGCCGATGATCCAGCCGTTTGGAAAACAGTTTGGCAGTTTCTCCCAAAGCGAAGCCCACGCTTACACAAGACTCTGCGATCTTGCTCCCAGAAATTTACCTGAGGGAGAAGGAAACCTGTCCAAACGATGACCGGAACGCAGCTTTGTTCATAATGGCCAAAGCCTGGCAACAACCTGAAGTTCCATCAACTGATGGCTGGATAAACACATCGTGGTGTCATATAATAGGACACCCTGCAATAAAAAGGAACAGATGTAGATACAGGCAACAATGTGGGTGAACCCTAAAAGCATTGTTCTAAGTGTGAAGAGCCAGACACAAAAGACTATGTCCTGCATGACTTCATTTTTATGACTTTCTGCAAAAAGCAAAACAGGAACATAAATTAGATCAGTGGTTGTTATTGGCTGCGTGGGGGCGTGATTAACTGCACAGGGCATCAGGGAACTTTCTGGAGTGATAGAAATGTTCCTGATTGTGAAGATGGTTCCACATCTGCCCAAAGGTAACAAAGTCTAAACTTAAAATGGGTACATTTTATTGTAAATGTATTATGCCTTGAGAAATGGGTTGATTACCTGAGACCCAGTTCTGTATCCCACACTTAAAAAACTTTTTCTGGTAATGTTTATTTATTCTTTGAGGGAGAGAGAGCGAGAGCGAGAGAGAGAGAGAGAGAGAGAGAGAGTGAGCACGAGGGGGGGAGGGGCAGAGAGAGAGGGAGACACAGAATCTGAACCAGCTCCAGGTTCTAAACTGTCAGCACAGAGCCGGACGTGAGGCTTGAACTCACGGACCATGAGATCATGACCTGCTGCACAAAAGTTGGACGTTTACCCGAATGAGCCCCCAGGGGCCCCTCTATCCCCTACTTTGGACATGTCCTCTTCCCTGATTAAGTTTATGGGACACACTTGATGAGGGTCTCCCTGTCTTAGGTCTTGAAACGAGGGAGATAGAGGAAGTCGGGATCACATGGGAAATGGGGGAGGGGCTTTTGTTTGTGTTTCACTAAATGTTACCAACTCCTTCACCTTCTCTCTCGTCTTTCCCACGATCCCTCTTCCTTTTCACGGGGCTGACCATTTCCCTTAAATCTAAGCATTAAAACAGATCCAGTTATTTGAAGATTCCCACGTCTTGCATTTTTATTGGTGAAATATCAGAATATTACTTGTGGAACTTTCCTAGAAGAAAATACGGTATTTCAGATTCCTTACACAAATAATTTAAAAGATGGAAAATTGTTGCAATCATTTTATTCCTCTGAATTTTCAAACCTCTGTACAGCCCAAACAGGAGTGATCGTGATGTAAGTTGCTGGGTCAGGAGCTGGCTGGCCAAGGGAGAGGATCAACACCAATCACCTGGCCGGGAAGATACGACACACTTGACACACGGACTGTTCCTGTCTGGGTCAGGGACATAAAGGTGCCACTTTCACCCTTTGATCCTGGTGTTCATTAATTTTTCCTCAAGGGGGAAGACAGAATCGGTGAAACAAATAAACTAGCTAGTTTCACTTTATTTTCAGAGCTGAGATACTATGCGCAGGAGCTTAGGTGTGAGAGAGCCATTTTGAAGAGGAGGGAGGAAAAGTCATCAGCGCCAGAGAGAAAGACAGGATTCTAGAGAGGAGCCTGGACCAGGCAGGCCTCTCAGCCCCCCCGCGCCTCCTATGCCCCTACCCCCATTTCCCTCCATGGGACTCCTGGGTTATTATTTACTCACCTTCCTTGGTAGAAGATAAAGAAAGTCAGAGAATGGAGTCAAGTGAAATAATTAAATCTTTTAAAAAATGTGTAGCCTAGAGAAGTTACGTCTCATCCCATACCCCCACATAAACACACACACATGCACACACACACACACAATCGCACACACACGAACACACTCACATGTACACATGCACGCATATAGGCACACAAACGAGCACACTCACACGCACACATGTGCACACGCACATACATGCACACACAAACACAGTCACTCGCACATGCATACACATGAATACACAATCACATGCACACACATGTACGTGCACAAGCACAAACACTATCATATGTATATACACACATACACCCACGCACACAAGCACACTCATATACACACACATTCCTACATGCACACACATGAATACACAATCACACACGCACACACACACATACACACACACATTTTCTTCTTAAAACATGGACGTCCACTTGCTCTCCCTGGTCCCTTGGGAGAGCTCTGTGTCCCGGCCCCCCAGTGCTCTGGTGACCCCCATAAAAGAGAACTTTACCATACGCCCAGAGCCGGATTCTTCCATGCGGCTTTACATTCAAGATATCCTCAGAGTTTTAACACACAAGTTTGACGGCAAGTTTATTCCTTGAAACACTGAAGGTCAAAACTATATGTTTATTTAGGTAAGTGTTTGGGACTTAAGTCAAAATTTCAACGAACGAATTTAAAGTTTTCTGAAGCACATTTTAAAACATTTATATCGTCTTAATTTAAGATCTGCTAGAGCTCCAAAGTGTCATGTGGCAAGAGAGACCATAATTTCTAATTATAAAGTATTGGGGACGATAAATTCACATGACCTTTCCAGGAAAGTTTATGAGCAGGCCGCAACGGGGCAGGGACTTTATGAGGGGTCAGGGCATGTGTGGTCACCAAAGGCTCCCCCTTGCACATTATTTAGACAGATTAAGGAAAATCACACTCCCCAAGGCTTGGCAGCTCCCCTCCACCCCCTTCTAAAACACCGCTAAACATCGGAGCGCGGCAGGAAGCTCAAGTTCCCAGAAAGATTTCAGTTTCTGGACGTCGCTGTGTTAAGGAAACCTTAAGAATCATTCACTCAACCCATTTCCTTTCACAAGAGGGGAAACTGAGTCCCACGGAGAGGAAGGGGTGTCATCCCCTGCTCGCCGACAGAATGCAGGATCCTGACTCCTCTCCATCCTGCTCTGTTTCGGCCCTTTTGCACAGCCAGGTTGTGGCTGGGTTTTTCCTTACATGATAAAGCAGCGTTTAGATTCCCATTCTCCAAACAGAAGCATGATTATAGACAGCAGGAGGGGGAAGGAGCGTGTGGGGCCACCCTACAAGTCTGGCTTTGGGGGATTCACAGTCACACTAACGGAAGTCAGATCCTGCAGCGTCTCCCTCTAAGCCCTCCTTCGTCCTGCCCCGCGCCACCTCGGCACCAATGTTCCTCGGTCTCTCAGTTCCCTGGGTCTGTTTCTCGGCCCCCGCTCTTGGCTGGGGGCTGCCGAGTGCCGTGGCTCCCTGTTCCTGTGGCTCCTTCACTGGCTGGCTGGCCGGGCTTTGCAGCGGCCTCAGCCGCTGTCATCTTCCAGCGGCTCCCCAACCCAAAGCTGGTCATGACGCCTTTCCTTAGCCCCCTGCTGTGGTCCCCGTGGCCTCCACAAGGAAATCCAAAACCACAGTAGCTGCTCCTATGGGACCCTTGGGAGCCTGTCCTCACCCAAGCTCCCCCCGTCGTGCTCTGCACACCACAGTGGAGACTCCTCGTTCACGGGGCTCGCGTCTCTTCCGGCGGGAGCCCCCCTGCCCACAGCACCCCCCAACTTGCCCTTCTGGTCCCACCCCATCATGAGAGCAAGCACACAACCCAGCTGGTTTATTAGGGCTCCCGGGCCCCAGGACACACGGGGAAAGCCCAGCCATCAGCGTCCCACGCCCGACTTCTCCACTGGAGCAGGAGTGAAGATTGTATTTAACAAGCACTGCTGTTCCTAGGGGATATGATCCTAAGTGCCTGTCATCTTCGGGCACAAAGGGGAGCCCCTCTTGTACCGAGAGGGTGAGCTTCAGGCAGAGGGAAGCAGAGCTGAAGGATAGAAGGAGAAGAGAGATACAACAGCACTGAAACTCCTGGATCCAGCTAAGCCTGAAGCCAGCCTGAGCCTGAGCTTCCTAAGTAGAGAACCGACAAGATTCCTTTCTTTTTAGGCAGGTTTGGGGTATATTTTTTAATCACCTGTGACCAAGAGAGTAGCGGCCACTAAGCCCCTGAGCTTTCAGCCACCGGGACAGCCCATTGCGGGGACCCCACTGCTCTTCACCCCTATGGGTCTTGACACATTTTCATCCCTTTGCCTGAATGTTCTTCCCTCTCCTCTTAGGGTAAACTTATTCCACCTTTGCTGGTGTCTTGCCCAGCTCCCTACGGCCACCGGTCCCACTCGCCCAGGCTTCTCCGTGTCTGGTTCATTCCCTTCTCTGTCCCTCACAGGGTTACCCTCCTGACTCGCTGTTTATGTGGCTCCTACTCCACACCCTTAGCAGCACATTAAACACAGAGTGATACTTAAAGGCACAGAATTAATAATCTCCTGTCTTCAGTTAATTTCTCCCCACAGTGCACCACGAGGTGCCTGTCTCCGGACACCCTTACTCGTGGGGAGCCCTCCACCACGAGTCCTATTTTCTTTCCACCCATCAGTCAACAGCCTCTGCTGGGCTCCATCCGAAAGTGTGAAGTTTGTGGAGGAGAGGCTGGGGACACAGTGGGCGAGGTGTGAACGACAAAGCTGAAGATTAAAAACAAGCAGGGCGGGACTGTGAGAACGAAACTATTTGAGCAAACTTCAATTCACATTATGGTGAACGATGGAAACGAGGTTTCCATTTGGACAATCAGGACTCGCATTTTTTGGTTGCATTGCAGGCAGTTGGGGGGTAGACAGCATGCCTTCCTGATTCGTGAGTTAACGGTAAGCGAAAGGAAATCCGGACACTGCTGGAACAGCGGGTGAGCACCCCAAAATCCACACAGACCCAAGACTTCTGACGGGACCGGGAGGCAGCTGGGGCGGGGGGGACGCAGCATCCCTGGGCGCACGAGTGCCTGTCGCTGGAACAGAATGGGGGAGGGGGAGGCTAGCTTTCACAGGGTCACCGGGTGGGGTTTCGCTCTGGCCCCAGCCCGCTGCACACCACCGGCTCTCCTACCCTGAGGGATGCGCAGGGAATAGCTGCCCATCAGAGCTGCGGAGACAGAGGGCGGCACGGGGCATCCCGGCCACCAAGGTCCCCTGGAGCCCTGCAGGGTGAGAGCCAAGCTGCCCCCTGCTCACTGCACCTGCATTTCAGCTTCTAAACCATGATCTCAAGCAATTTCCAGTTGAAAGCGAAGCTTGCACATATGCCTTATTTCTGGTCCTTCCCTTCAATCCCTCTAAATCGCGCTAAAGGAACAGAAAGGGCGAGAACCCAGCTCGCAAAGAAAACAGGAGTCCGCAGAGGGCAGGTCTGGGCAGGTGGAAGGTGTCTGGAGCGGCGACAGACTGAGTGGACCACGGAGGCCAGGAGGCCAGAGCACAGGTGGGGGGCGCAGCCCTGAGGGCAAGCTGGCTGAGCCCCATTTGGAAGCACCCTCATCTCTCAGCCAATGTCAAGAGCAGATGCATCTCCTGGGTCCCCTCCCCTATCCCAAGAGGCCAGGTGCAAGCCTTCTCCACAACCCTGGATGGAGCTGGATGCGCCCCTGGAGAACGCGAGCCAGGCGGGGTTCAGACGGGGCTGCTGGGGGTGCTGAGAAGCGAGAAATGGGAGGGCCCGCCCTGAAAACAGGGCCAAGGTGAGAAAATCCACATTCTGGATGGCCAGCGCTCGCCGGGGCCTTTCCCGTCCCTGCGCACCAGGCCGCTGGGGCCCAGGCTGATGTTCCCGGACAGCGGGTAGAAGAACGCCTCTCCGGAGACGGCGCCAGTCACAAAGAAACACTGACAAATCCTGGAGTCCTCCCCAAATTTGACTGGGCCCCCATCTCATCATCCTGAAGTAAGTCCACGAATGAGGACAGGCTCCTTGACCAGCGTGCACACATGTACACCCACACAGGGTCTCTCTCTCTCTCTCACACACACACACACACACATGCTCACCCGCACAGGGCCTCTCTCTCACACACACACACGCACACACACACACACACCTGCACAGGGCCTCACACACACACACAGGGCCTCACCTACACACACACACACAGACTGATGATGTCATAGTACCTTCCAGCCGCATTGATTGCCTGGAGGACACCTGTGGAGCAAGCCCCTGGCTCATCGGCTCTTCGGCTACTTTGAAGTGTACTCTGGGAAGAAGGCAGGCTGGCTCGGTGCTGCCTCCTTCCTTTACTTCCCAGTTTCCAGAATCATGACTCTGTTCCCCGTCACCAGTAGAGGAATACCAGTAAGTTTTGTATCTGACAAACATTACACACTCGGGGATTTTTACCATTGCCCGTGTTCTACCCTTTGTACGTTCTTGTTCTTACTGCTTACCTGGCACCATCTCTGGCCAAGGGAGGCATCTTTCGATGCGTTCCCGAGTCCTGCGGCCACTCAGCACTCACTGGCCGTGTCTGTGCTTTCTGGCCCAGGAGGATGCTCCCGGCTCATCTCGCACATGTTTTCCCCAGGCCGGAAGTTGGCCATCTCCTCCAGAGAGAACACCATCTGAGCACTCATGGTTCTCATTGCCCCGGGATGGATCAACCTTTCTAGGTCTTTCTAGTGGTCAGGGCCAGGAAATACGCCGTTGAAGAGAAAATATATCATGAGCTCATACTGGTATTTCCAACGAGTTTAGAATGAGAAGGTCTTGACTAATTTGTTTCCTTTCATATTTGTATCACGTTTCCTGTAGGCTGGAGATCTTGATCCCCAAAGACAGAAACACGTGAAGTGAAGTGACACGTTAGCTCACAGTTTCAGAATGACAACAGCAGTATTGTTACTAGAAACCTGAATGCTGGGCACAGTTGAAGTCCTTCCTGCCTTTGCAGAGTGTATCCTACTAGGGCTGAAGAGTCAAATCACAGTGGTTACTGCCGCCTTCAATGATTCCTGTGGCTGCAGAAGCTGCAGAGATGACGCGAAATCAGGTACGTTGTCTGATTCTGCTTTTGACTTTTAGGGATTTAAAAAAATTTTTTTTCCATTTTGATTTAATTTTTTATAACTATGTAAAACATCTGTATGATTCCAAAGTCAAATTTATAAAACAAAGTTTATGCAGAAGAGCCTGGCTTGTGTCCCCGGCCCCGACACCCCGTTCTCTCTCTCCCTTTCTGTCGATGCCATTTATTTCCACCGTGGTGTTTTACTGAAATTTGGTATAGATCCCAAGTCAAAAAACTCATAATAGGAGTTTGTTGCAAGAACAACTTTAATTCGATGTTAAAGTCATCCAAGTGTGTCAAAGGCCAATGTGGGTCCATGTTACAAGCGAGCGTTAGTGGTGTCAGGAAGCAGCACATCCCGGAGAGGGCCCTTGTGTGTCCCTTCCAGACCCCATTCTGAGGCCGGGGGCTCAGGAGGGGCTCCTTGGTAGCGGACGGCCCGCACTGGCTGGTCCAAACAGAAAGTGACTTATCAGAGGCCATGCTAAGCTTGCCATGGAGCTGAGCAGGCAGGCTCAGGGCAGAGCTCACTTCCAGATTGTGCCCTAGCACAGGGCTCCTGCCTCACAGCACCCAGAAGGCAGTGGTTCTAGAACCATCCTGGAATCCCGGGCTGCTGCCACCGCACGGCCACTCCTGCTGTGCTCCCTCCTGAAAACTGATGCTCACGCCCTAACCCTAGATGTCTGGAGGCCGCACACTGCACAGCTGAGCAAAGACAAACACATCCAGCACCGGCCTGAAGGACAGGGCAGAGTGGACGGCCCTCCCCCCACCCCGCCGCCAGGGCGCTCCTGCAGGCCGGGCCCGCTGAGGTCCGAGGAAGGTCATCTTGGCTTGCCGTGTCCTGCTGTTCCAGAAGGAACAGAAGAGAGGTGGAAGGAGAGCGGGCACCCAGCCACCACACACAGGGCGAGGAGGTGTTGAAACGTTAGATGCACCGTGGTAGATCCATTATCACTGGGCCTCGTCACAGGCGCTTCTGAGTGATTTTTCAGGGGGACATTTTTAAGGCCATTAAAAAAACATTTTTTAACGTTTATTTATTTTTGAGAGAGAAAGAGACAGAGGGTGAGCGGGGGAGGGGCAGAGAGAGAGGGAGACACAGGATCGGATCGGAAGCAGCTCCAGGCGCTGAGCTGTCAGCACAGAGCCCGATGTGGGGCTCGAACCCACGAACTGTGAGATCGTGACCTGAGCCAAAGTCTGACGCTTAACCGCCTGAGCCCCCCAGGCGCCCCTTCCAGGCCATTTTTAAAGGAGACCCTTGCCTATGGGGACGTGTGTCTTGGCAGAAGTCTCAGTCCTTTGCCAAAATGTGCCTCTGCCGAGCCCGTGGTATTGCTGTAGTGTAGGCAGGTGATAGATTCTTAGACCTGACTTCCAGAAAGTGTTCTGCTGCAGATCACCGGTAGGAGACACAAAAATGGGGGGGGGGGGGCGGAGGTGGGAGGGGGAGCAGACCCAAGGGCAGGATCTGCCCCTCCAGCTTGGGGAGGCTGTCTCCCGGTTCATTGAAGCTGGGTCAACACGGGGGCCCGGGCGTTGCCCCCGCCCCCAGGCTAAGTGACACACGGAGTTGCAAAAAGGGCGGCAGATGCTACGGTCCCCGCGTGCGCCCCGCGGCCGGTCTAAGGCCAGTCTGGAAGCAGCAGGCCTTTGCTGGAAGGCCTCTGCCTCGGCCGGCAGACCGGGTGGAAGCGGGCTTCCTTCGCTGCCTCTGGTTCCCCACATTTATTTTCTAAGTTTAGGGAGAGATGTAGAAAGCCAGATCGGCCGTGGGCCTTCCCCGCAGGGGAAGCGGGGTCTGGCAGGGTGGAGCTGGGCTTGCCGACCGGGCAGGACCTCTGAGTCACAGGATCGTGCGGCCCGCGCGTGGGTTAGGAACTGCAAACGGCCGCCTCCGTGCGAGGGCCTGCTCCCCACACCGCTGCTCCGCCCGCCGCTGGGAAGGGTCCCCGGGGCGGCCCGGGCTTCCCGAGCGGTGGTCGCGGCCGCGCGGCGTCCCGGGGGGGACTGCGCTCCGCCGCCCGAGTTCAACTTCAATAAAAGGGCCCAGCCCGCCCTTGATCACGCGGCTTGCCTGACAGCCCGGCTCGGCCCGGGCCTAATTGAGCCCGGGTCACCTGGGAATACGTTCAAAGGCATCAAAGCCGTAAACCACCTCCAGGCCCCGAGCCAGAGCGGCCTGGCGAACAAAGAGCCCCCCGGACCACTTCAAACGCGCCCGCGCTCGGCGTCCAGATGGCGCGGGCCGGGGTCCGCGGTGTCGCCCGCCGCGCGCCCTCCGTCCCGAGCCGATCGCGAGGCAGAAGCGGAGCGCGGAGGCCGGGACCCCGCACGGCACCCGGCTTCGCGGGCCGGGCCGGGCAGGTGGGCGCGGGGCCCGGGCGCTCCCGCGGAGGCTCGCTGCGGCGCTCCAGTTTGAAAGCACTTAGGGGGAGGGTCTGCAAAGGGCGTCGGGGCCGGAGATCCCCAGAGAGGCGGGGTGGGAGACGACGGCGGACACAAAGCCCGGGCGGGGCCGGCGCGCGCGCACCGATGCCCGCGGCGCGTGCGTGGCCGGCGGCAGCTCCGCGGGCTCCCGAGGGTCCGCACGCCCGTGGCCCGGGCGCCGGGACCCCTGCCCGCGCGCGTCCTCCACCCTGGGCTCGCGGCGCGCCCGGGGGGCAGCCAAGGAGCGCACAGGCCCGGGCGCCCCCGGGGGTCCCCGCCGGGTCCTCACCTCTTGGGAGCGCGTCTAGGGTAGGACCCGGCTCCCGCGCCCCTCGCGCCCCCGGGAGACCCCGCGGCCTTGGCGGAGCCCGGTCTCCACGCTAAGGGGCGGACAAAGCGGGTCCGCGGTGCCCAGGGCGCCGCGCGGCCGGACGGCGGTCGGACCCCGGGGTGGGGGCGCGCGCGGCGCGGGAGGGCCCGGCCTCCGCGGTGCCCGCCGCGGCCGGGGCCGGAGGGGGAGGCCAAACTGAAAGCGCCGCGCCGGGGGGCGGGGGCGGCCGGCGAAGGCCCCGGAGCTCGTCCTGCCCCCGGCCGCCGCGGCCAATCAGCGCGCCGCCCTCGCTCCTGACAACTATTTAGCAACGCAGCCCGGCTAGAGTTTCCAAAAAAGTTAGAATAACTTCCTCTCCCGGAGACCTCGGGTTTGCACGAGCCGCCTTGAAATCAGAGCCCTGCGAGCAACTCCGGGAGCGTGTGCTCGGCGACCGCGGGCTCGGCCGGCGGCGCGCGCTCGGCGCCCGGCGCCCCCCCAGCCCCACGCGCGCCGGGCGGGCGCCATGGAGGAGGGCTCCAGCTCGCCCGTGTCCCCCGTGGACAGCCTGGGCACCAGCGAGGAGGAGCTCGAGCGGCAGCCCAAGCGCTTCGGCCGGAAGCGGCGCTACAGCAAGAAGTCGAGCGAAGATGGCAGCCCGGCGCCGGGCAAGCGCGGCAGGAAGGGCAGCCCGAGCGCGCAGTCCTTCGAGGAGCTGCAGAGCCAGCGCATCCTCGCCAACGTGCGCGAGCGCCAGCGCACCCAGTCGCTCAACGAGGCCTTCGCGGCGCTGCGCAAGATCATCCCCACGCTGCCCTCGGACAAGCTCAGCAAGATCCAGACGCTGAAGCTGGCGGCCAGGTACATAGACTTCCTCTACCAAGTCCTGCAGAGCGACGAGATGGACAGTAAGATGACCAGCTGCAGCTACGTGGCCCACGAGCGCCTCAGCTACGCCTTCTCCGTGTGGCGCATGGAGGGCGCGTGGTCCATGTCCGCCTCCCACTAGCGCCGCGCCGCCCACGTCCGGACCCGCGCGCCGGGGTAGGTGCTGCGCGCGCCACCGGCGCCCTTCGCGGCGGGGGTGGGGGTCGGCCGGGACGCTCCCGGGCGCCGGGGGCACCCTCGCGGCCTTCTGCAAGCCCCCCTGCTGGGTGTCAGTCGGGAGCGGCGCGGAGACGGGTGGCTGCCGCACTCTCCGTCCTTGGCGCCTGCGGGTGACTGTCGGGGAGCCGGGCCCCGGGGGAGCCGCCGGCGGCCGGCAGGGGGTCGGAAAGCCGCCGCCCCGCGCGCCCTCCGGAGCCGGGTTGCGCCCGGGCTGCGGCTCCGTCCTCTGCCCGCGGAGCCGCGGGACGCGCCCGTGGTGCCCGCGCGCGGCTGGAGCCGGGCGTCCGGGCCGCGCCTCGGGAGCTCCGGCCGCGGGGGCGCAGCGCCGCGGGCCGGCGGCCGGGTTTGCGCGGGGAGCGCGGGGGCCGCCGCGGCGGGACAACCGGCGTCGGCCCTGCGCCGGGAGCGCTGGAGACCCGGCCGGAGCGCGGCGCCCAGACCCGAGCGCCCGGAGCCCCGCCGCCCGCAGGCAGGTGGAGCCGGGAGCCTCGCGTTCCAGCCTTGAACCTGGAGAGGCTGGGACCCGGCTCTGCCCGCGCGGCCTCCCGGCCCCGCAGGGTAGCGCGAGGGGCCGGGCTGCGAAGCCGGGGACACGGCCCGGGGGACGCGGCCGCTGAGAGCGTCGGAGGTTCTGGTTCGCTCTGGAAGAGCGCGCGGGGCGCCCTGCACCAGCCGCCGCGGAAGTCCCTTTAGACCAGCTCTAGCTCCGGGGGCGCCCCCCTTTCCAGAAGGCTCTGTGAGGCCGCGGGCATCTCTCTTCCAAAAGACCCTCTTGGGCAATGGGAGGGTGCAAGATATGTTGGCGGGGGCGACGGGTAAAAATCCTCAGTACTTAGTATGCTTTAGTTTCTTGTTCGTCTTGCAGTGTTTTTATAAGTCTCTACTTCACACAGAAGGAATTTAGATTAATCCTGAGCGAGCCCCGCCAGTTCTCCCAAACAGATCTATTTCTTTTTTTATGTGCTTCTATCATATCTCCAAATGTTTTTGCTGTGGCCACGGAGGGCCGATCTAGCACAGGTGGATTTTTTTTAAAGTTTTTATTTCTGTGCCACTGAAAATTCTTTTGCTGAACCAGCCCCCTAAGATAATGATTGTTTTATAGGTTTTTTTTTTCTTTTTAAAAAGAATTTTTAGTGGAGAATAACTTATGGGTATCTTCTCCCATCTTTGTCAAAAGCAGATGGAAAGTTTCTCAATCACATATTTTTCTAGGGAAGAAAGTTTGGATTGGCTGAGCAGTAAAATGCTACAGGGGGTTAATACATTAATTCTGGGTTTTGCTGCCTAAATTATGAGCTTCCATTAGTTAAGTCCATTTACCCTTTATACCATCCATAGTTTACATCACATCTGAAGTAAGGACAAACAGATGAGGAATGTCATCTTCGTAAAACATACATGCATAGCTTTGTTTAAGGGAAATGTCAACAGAATTATCATTAAGACTTCCCTCCAGAAAATTACTGAAAACATATACCAGGAGATATTACCTTAATGCAAAATTTAGTAAAATCATTGAAAATTCATTGAAAAAGAGTTACACTCCTCACACGTAGAGAATCAGACATAGATCACAAGTAAAGATTATATGAAAATAAAAGGCAGCATTTTATTTATCGAAAGTGCTAAGAGCTATGGGGGGAAAAATCCTTAAAACATAACAGATAACACATTTCAGCCGGAGAACAAATGATCGTATGGGGGCCCATTTATTTTTATTTTTGTTTTTATATACTTGAATATAACAGGCTAATTCCAGGAAACGAGTTTCTTTAGGTAGATAATCACTCTCTACGAGAAGAGAAGGGACATGTAAATTTTTGATACACTAATAGTTCTGGATACCCTTTGTTTTTTTACCTAATCAGGCAAGTTAGGCAAGCATTTTTGTATTTTTTGTTTGTTTTTATCACATTAGTCTGTGAATAGAAATACAATCATGATCGGTTTGATTTCCTGAAAATGTTGCTGAATGACATTTGTTACTTATTTGTAACATTTTAAACTAACTGATATCTATATCAGCAAAGAATTTGTAAACCTTTCAGTAAACTGTGTGTGATTTTACTGTCTTAATATGAGACGTTTTCACATATTTGAAAAAAGCTGCATCCTGACGAACAGCAGCAACCGTAAAAAGCCTAAATTGTCCTTTGATATAAAGAGAAGCACAGAAAATGGTGGAGTTCAGCTGCTGCTAATATTACCCTGACTTTCGTCTTTGGCCTGGTGTTTAAACACACAGATACACAATAAATCAGGTGCCTTTGGACGCTCAGCTGGGCTCATCTAATCGGACGAAACGCAAAAGAAATTTTTAGCATTCTCATTAACTTCCTGGGCCTTAGAAGCAGAGTCAGAGGCACCTGGCTCGGAGGAAGGTGACGATGATCAGACATTTCTCCTATTCCCTGCTTTGCCGTGAAAGAAAGCCTCTTCCCTAACTCGTGCAATATGCAGATTTTCAGCAGGTTACTATACTCAACAAACCCCTTCCCCCCCTCCCTCCCCGAGCTTTGACTTAACTTTGGAGGGCAGAGCATGACCCTCTCACCGTCTGAAAAGTGTGTAAGCCTGTTCCTCCCTCCTGAGCACCTCCCTCTTGGAGATGTCCGGAAGATCCAGCGTAGGGTGCTGACCTCCGTGATGTGGATATTGTTGTTGAAGTATCTGAAGCCACGCTTTCAACCTTGCCTGAGGAAGGCTTGCTATGCATCCGGCCGGAGCGGGGGCTCGTGGGATGGGGCTTTGAGAGTGGCTGTTTGAGGTCGTTTGAAATTTAGCGCTTTATTGAAGTTTTCTGAAGACTGTACTATTCTCAGACAAGTCTTGAGCCTGAAAGAACAGAGTTTACATCATCCTTGTGTTACTGTATTCCGGACGGACGGCACAGACTCTGATTCCTCTGGCGTGGCAAAAAGACCATAAAGTAAACTCTTTCTGAGCAGAGCACTATAACTCATAACTTTAGTTTAAAGCTGGGCTTAAAAAAAAAACAAATATTTTAATAAGCCAATTTTAAAGGCTGGACTTTTATGACAGTTTTTAAGCTTCGTATTTATATTAATCTGTCCTCCCTGGTGTCTTTAAAAACTCCCTGAATGCACGCTGCGATGTTGTTTATGTTTGCGTCTTTTCCTGGGAAAGGATAAATGCGTTGCAAAAAGCAAACCAAATACACAGTTCTCCACCAGCAAAGAGCTCAGAAATGAAGCAATAAAACTCAAAGGAGAGGTGAATAAGTTACTGTAGCCAAGAAGCAGACTTAAAGAAGGATCTAAGAGATAGAGACAGGACGCATTCAAAAGTAAAGGCAAGATGAAATACTAAAAACAGAAACTCACTAAGGAGATATTCCACATGGTCACCTGAGTGTACACGTGTGATACAACTCTGTAGAATGAAACACACACAGGCATACACAAACGCACACACGCAGAAGTGCATGTAAAACTGGTGAAATGTAAGTTCTGGAAATTATATTAGTGTCAATTTCCCCGTTGTGATATTACATTATAGCTTTGCAAGATGTTACCATTGGGGGAAACTTAAGTAAAGAGTATCAGAGAATCTCTCTGTATTATTTCTTACAACTTCATGTGAATCTACAGTTACCTCAAAATGAAGAGTTGCGAGGAAAGGTATTCCACAAGAATTTAAATTTTTTTCTATATTCAAACGAGCACATTATGTAAGGAATTATTATGCCTCATCTCGGAGCGATAAACTAAAAATGTGGTTTGAGCCCATTATTTTCCCTGATGTCATTTGTCTGTTGTCCTTCTTTGCAGAATGTGAAGAATCTCACCGTGTTTCCAATATGGACTTAAAGACGGTTGCTTGCAATTCTTAAACAGAGTGAAGTCCTGGAAACTTGGGAGGAGAAATACCGATCAATATTGGTATTTGTTCCTATCCTAAGAAACAAAATTTTTTCAAATAAACTTTAGGAAATCTTTACCCCAAACAGACCCAACGTTTGCTTTTAAGATACTAAATCTACACTGACATGCATGAAACACACACACATAATTCTAAAGCCCACGATTTGTCAAAATTATTCACCAAGAGGTGTAGAGATTATAGTTTTAGTATTTAGAGCCTTACACAGAAGAAGAGGAGAGAGAGAGAGAGAGAGAGAGAGGGAGAGAGAGAGGGGGAGAGAGAGAGAGAGAGAGAGAGAGAGAGATCAAACCCTAAACTCAGTCATGGTTATTTTAAAGTAATATTTGTTTGTTCTAGGAACATATTTTGTGTTTGGTTCAGTGGTAAACCTTTGAATGCAATTTAGTTGTATTAAATGTGCTTTAATTTAATGTTTGTTTTGGAATGCGATACAGGGACATTAACGATGTGATTTTCATGCGGATGTAAACTAGGTCACAGTGGGATTTTTCTTCAGTGATTATTACTAAGGGTGGTCATGGTCAAGGACACGAGTGAGAACCTGGAAAAGCGAGCATGCAACCATATCCCAGCACGAGAGAACATTTTTAATGGTTAATTGAAAATAGAGCCGTTTTGAACCCAAACGGCGTTTTACATGCTTCGAACATCAGTATCACTTTTCCTACAGCTCGATTGTTCAGAATACGGGAGGCCTGTGATGGTGTGTACGGAGCCTGTGGTCGAAAGTCCTCAGTGCCTGCGATCTGGGGACACTTGCTGCTTAGAACCCAGTTTCCCATCCCCATATGCTTTCCTCTGTTACTTGATGGGGCGGGAGAGGTGTAGATGACCTAGCTTCTGGCCACATCCTCTGTAGAATTGTAACTTTACTTCTCAGCTTCTAAGATCGCTGCCTTTAAAACTGGCACATCCCCCTTTCTTTAGATCACGATTTCACTATCAGTTAGATGAAGGGAGACCCAAAGAGCTTTCAGTTATCAAATTCCATTATCCTGGAAAATACTTTTGCTTTTTAGCTCACATTTGGCCTTTAAAAAAATAGTCATCAGCATCTTTGGGGGGGGGGGCTGTCCATTATCCTGGAAAATACTTTTGCTTTTCAGCTCACATTTGGCCTTTAAAAAAATAGTCATCAGCATCTTTGTGTGTGTGTGTGTTGGGGGGTGGAATGGTACACTCAGTTATGTTGTCCGGCATTCGATCGTATGTTCCACTGTTTCATTTTTGACAGAGAGGGCTCACATTTGTTTTTCTGGACGTGGAGATCTGGTGTGTGGCTGACAGGAAAGATTTGGGCAGAAAGCTTGGTTTTCATTAACCCTCTGATGGTGACCACACACCCAACCCCAAGCCCGTCGCTGAGGTCTGCGGTATGGTCACCGCCTGAGCCTTTCCAGAGCGCCAGACAGAGCCACTCGGCGCAGCAGCGCAGAGCAGAGCCTTAGCCTTTGGCTCGGAGAAGAGAGGAACAGGGCAGGGAAACTTCAGCGGGTTTCCTCCGGGAGGAAAAAATGCCCGCGTTCTTGTTGCTAATGCTGTTTCACTCCTGCTCCACGAATAAAATGCCACCTGAACTTTTCTGTTACATTCTCCGAGTACATCCCTCTTCTGCAGAGATTCAAGAGACTTTTTTTGCCTGCTTCCTTGGCAAGTGGGGGCTCCAGAAGGGACAGCTTGTAAAATAAACAAACTCCCTAAAAGAAAACACAGGCCAATAGTTTACAGTCTCAGACTATCTGCTGCCGCGGTGAATTTCTTTGTGTGCTCCACTTTGATTTAGCGTTCTGGAAGTCAGAATGCAAGCAGGCAGCGTCTTCCTTCAAGCACGAGCTCTAGAAATAAAAGCTTGAGTTGCTATTTCCTTTCCTTAATCTTGGTTCTTAAAGGAGATTTGGCTCGCGGAGGGCGTGCAGAGGGATCAGAAATCAAAAGCCATGGGCGTCGTTTGACTTTTGGGACCCGGGGGTGCATCGTGGCTGTTAGCTAGAGACGTCCTGCTCAGTGGAGGGACAGGAGGCCACCTGGCCTTCGGGGTGAGGAAGACCTTCACGGACTTCCGGAAGGCTGTGTGGACTTAACATCGCGTTCTTCACGAGGCCGCCTGGGTAAATCCATAGCGAGGTGCTTATCATTTCTCTGGGATTTAAATGCCTGAATTACTGCAAATTGGGAAGGGAAGGAGGGAGGGGAAAAGACATGATTTTCTTTCTCAAATTGAGACGTGTCACTTTCACGTGATGGAGCCCCACAGACGAACAGCGTCGTCACCGAAAATGGGTCTTGCCGAATTTAAACCGTTCCAGAATGCGTACCACACATATATCGGCCCCTAACTAATCAAAACTGATTCCCCTCTCTTTCTTGATGTCTGCTAGCGTGGGTGAGAGAGCGAGAGAGAAAGACCTGATACTTTGCACATTGTTTCCTGCCGGGCAAGCATTTCCTCTCCAGCCCTTTGCCACCCACCCCTGCACCCAGCATTCCCTCTTCACGGGCTCCTCTGTGTTATTATTCCTATTTTCCGAAGCCCGTGTACGTTTTCATTTTAGAATAAGTGATACAGGGCGAGCAAAAAGCCCGCGGTCGGAGTCCGGCAATAGCACAATCACACACGGGGAATACACACGCCGGAGCTGGGCGGTTGCGGGTCTGGGAAGTTGGGTGCAGCTCGGTGAATGAGGTGCACCCGGGCCCCTCTCCGCTCCTCCCCCTGCGCGGTGACTCCCTGTCCTTAATTGCCTATCATTACTATTTCCTAAGAAAGCTGTTTCAGTGACACTAGAACAAAAGTGTCCTAGAGATCTGCACCCCAGGAAACCTGATGTGTCCTGGTTTTTAAAATGTTGTTTTTTTTTTTTCTTTTTTATTTCTCTTGTGCGACCCGAGCAGCTTTAGCCACCCCAGACTTCCCGGGGACCGTGTGGACCCCATGAGCACACACCGGTGTTTTAGGGCATCCTCGGCGGGGCCGAGACGGCGCTCCGTGAGCACACAGAGCTCACCTCTCCTGGAGTGGCCGGGACGTGATTTCACACAGTGAAATATTTTAAGGGAAGAATTAACTTCGGGCGATTTTGCTGGAAGTTAAATGACTGCCAATTCCAGAGCTCCCAATCTGACTGCTTTTTGAGGTTAGGGTTTGCCTTCCAATTAAATAAGCGTCAGGTGAGGGCTGTGATGTGTCTCCCCGCCCATCTCAGGAATGGCTGTCATGCTAGATTCGTTTTTGTTTAGTGACATATCGGAAAGGATCAATTTCATGCGACTTCATTGTTGAGCAATTTGAGGTCCTCGCCGGCGTCTGGAGACTGCACGCATGGCTCTGTCATCTCACAGCTTCTAGAAGGAAGAAGGTGACGTTGGGGGCGTGACGACGTAAGAGAAGATGAGGATGTGAACGGGGGTGCTGTGTGGGGTCTCACGAGAAGCAGGGCGGCTGAGGGGATGGAGGCCCCCTGATGGGGAGACAGAAGGATCCGGGCTTGCGTGCCGGTGCTGCGCTGCTGGCCGCACAAAGGTCACTTCGTCCCTCGTCCTGTCCCTCGGGGCCCTCAGGAAGGAGAGGAAGACGCTTTATCAGAATAAGCCCTCGGCCTGCTTCCCAGAAGAATGACGCTTCATGAACATCCAGCAGGGCCGCCTCAATTCTTCTGCCTTCACGCGCCAGGCAGGAGGCCACCCAGGCCACAGTGACTTTACAAGTGCTTTCGTCTGTTTGTTCCCAGAGGGCAGCGTGGCCCTGCTATGGGTACCCGAGAAGTGTCGGGTGGCCCCTGCCCTGGAGGGGGCTGCCACCGTCACCAAGTGCATTCGGTGTCCCCACGAGGTGGTGCCAGTTGGATGCCTGCTGCACGCGGGGGTGGGCACCCGGGGAGTAGCTTGGGTCAGCTTGGTGCCCCTGCCTGACTTGGAGGGACCCTCCGAGGACAGTGGGTGGGGGCAAGCGGAAAGACCTTGCAGATGCTTTGCAAATAGCTGTCCGCACCCCTAGCACGTCCTGGACCTCCAGGCTGGTGGCCTGGGAGCTGCTCGCTGACTGAGCAGGTCGTACGCCCCAGGGCGACCCCAAGGGGCTCAGCTTTCGCCCCGGCTAATGAAAGGAAGTGGTAACTCAGCATTTATTTCCTCCTCCTGGGTTTCACACTGTAGACACGTCCCTACAGCCAAATTCTGCAGAAGCCTCTGCTCATCGAATGACAGCCTGCAGGGGAAAATCCCAACCTCCCACCTCTGAGGTTTGCAAGGAAAACGGAGCGAGCCTCGCTGTGCTGAGAGAAGTCAAATGACCGTATTGTCCCTGTCCCAGAGCACCGTTCTGGAATGCAGAGCTCTGAGCCGTGACACGACACGACGCTACTTCCACAGATGGCAGACCTCTTCCTCCTGGCTGGTTCCTCAGCAGTGTGCGTGTGCGTGTGCGTGTGCGTGTGCAGGTTCTCTGAACCAGTCTCCTGGGCAGTCAGCTTTTTTTTTTGAAAGATACAGCAAGTATCATTTACTGTTCGTTACATAATGTTACTTTTTCTGGGCAGCACCAGGGGAAGGGCAAGCCCCACGCGGGTGGGGGCGCAGACAGATGGCGAGGCTGGGGTGCCTTTCTGGGTCCCCGGGGCGCCCACCTGCTTTCTCCTGCGTGACAGAAAACAATAATCTGTGCATTCGGAGGGCTTTCCAGCGCCCATGACTCTTTGTAACCAATGTGACTCTCCACAATGGGCTTGGCAATTTATTGAAGTCACTGTTTCCAGAATAAACCATATGGAATTCTTTCCCTTAGTAAACTTCTCCTGCGTGGTATTTTTCTATTTGGGGAAATTTTAATTAGGCAGAAACCAGAGTCTGTTGCCTTGGCGGGGCAGGCTAGGCTCCCAAGTTAATGTGCTGCAGTACAAACCCATTGTCTCGTGTGTAGGGGATCGAGGAGGCTTCGCTGAAGTTGAACGTGGGGTGGAGAACCTTCCTGCTCTCAGCCTATGGTTATAGCGCGGCTCAGGCAAGGTGTAGCCTCTCTAGGACTCAGTTTCCCTCTACATAAAGTGTTGGATTTTGAGTTTCTGATACCCTGCAGCTGTCAGGATTCTGCGAGTCAGTGTGGCTGGGCCAGTGCCCGCTGGCTGCACACCCCAAAGAATCGAAAACAGGGTCTCCACCGGAAATGTGCGCGTGTGTGTTTCTGGCAGCGCTGCTCACGAGAGCCGCAAGGTGGAAGCGGAACAGGCGTCTGCCCGCCGAGGGTTCAGTGGGACGTGGGTGAGCCCCACCCCGGAATGTCGTTCAGCCGTAAGAAAGAGCGAAAGGCCGACACTCGCTGCAACACAGGTGAACTCTGGAGTCGCCAAAGTCACGCACAGGAGACTGAATATCGTAGGGTTCCACCTGAACGAAAAATCCAGAATGGCAAAAGTGGCTTCGTGGGTGCCAGGGCCCAGAGGGGGGGATTGGGATGTGATTGCTTCATGGGTCTGGGATTTCCAGAAATAGTGATGCTGTTTGCACAACAGCCTGAGGGCTGTGCACTTAATCCCACTGGATTCATACTTTAAAGTGGTCAAAATGGTAAATTTCATATTAGGTGTATTTTACAACCCCCCAAGTACCCTGGGACTCGGGCCGTGGGTCTGAGGACAAGCAGGGCTGGGGGCTGGAGTTAAACCTTCAGCTTCTCGCCCCTTTCCAGAGGTGCTTTATCCACGCGATTCTGTGCTTATCAGATGATTCTCCCCTTCAAGTTATCCCTGAAGATGTTTCTTTCTCTTTTGAAATCGATTCCCTGATGTGATCCTACAAAAAAAAAAAGTACCCCCGAGGACTCTGATAACACACTTGCCGTTTTTCTTGCCCGCCCTCTGATTTTAGTCGTCTGTCAGCTCTCTCTCTGGAAGCCCCTCCGTGGGGGACTGAGTCTCCGCACATTTTGGGGGTGACGGGCGGGGACAGGGGTGGCCCCAGGCTGTGCACACTTTGCAGTCGACCCGGCAGCCGGAAGCAGGGGGCGTTTTGCCCGTCTGTAGTGGGCGCTGGTCCGTGGGCATTTTAGCGCACCCAGCAGCGGGGTCCCCGAAGCCCCAGGCATGTTGGCGGATCAGAGCGTTTCAGGCTCGGAGACGCCCTGGAGACATCGATGCTGCACGGGGGACGGGAGGGTCCCTGAAACGTGGGGCCTCTGGCTCGGGGCCACTCTCCTCCGCGAATCCCTCTAGTCTCTAGACACAGTGACCGCTGTCCCCGGAGACGGGTGCAGGCAGGGCGGAGGCACAGGATCCCTGGGGCCAAGTGGGCGGCGTTTTCCTCCCCTTCCGCCCCTGCTCTGTCCACCTTGGTTGCCTCCCCAGCCATCTGTGCCCTGGGGACCCACGCAGAGTGGCTCTCCCAGGGCTTCTGTCCTCGGCCGTGACACAGCCGTTCCTTGTTTAAACACTATCACCTTCATGGCGTTACGCACTCAGCGTGTGAGACACTCACAGAAACCCCGAAGATGGTGCTGGGCTCAGGGACCGTTCGCAGAAGGGCTCAGAGCTGGGGGCAGGTCCCAGAGAACCTTCCCAGGAGCGTGGGGCTGCCCGGAGCAAAGGTCGCTGCTGTCTGTCCGTTCCTGGTCCCCGGGGCCTCCGGAGGGACGGCGGTGCCCCACGTGCTGGCAGAGGGCTCCAGAGGGAGACAGCAGGAGGGGACCCGGTTGTTCACACCCCTGGTTGTGCACCTGGCCTGGGGGGGACTGGTCGCCCCCTCGAGCCAGGCACACGCAGCGTCAGGGCCCCCAACCGTCAGCCCCACGCGGGTTCCCGGCTGCGCGGAGGCCACACTCTGGTCTGGTAGCGGGTTCCCCACACTCGCTGTGCGCCGCGGCCCTCTGCTCTGGTCTCTTGCCGCTTCTGCTTCGGGGTGACTGAAAGGGGAGCCGTGGGACCCCGGGGCCAGGCTCCAGTCAGCACAGGCCGCAGAGGGGATCTCTGTCCCCTGATTGTGCAATTGGTTTTCAGAAGTACCATCAGGTGATGTGAACTAAGGTTGGTGCCCCGGGTGAACAGCACAGAGTGCCCCTCCCACCCCTCCCCTCTTCCCCCTCCCCCAGCCCCTCCTCGTCTCCCCCTCCCCCCTCTCCCAGCCCCTCCCCCTCCCCCCTCCCCTGCCCTTCTTCCTGTCCCCACAGCAGGTCAGGCCTTGGTGCCCCGTGGCCCACCCACTCAGCCTCCCCCTCGGCATGTCTGCGGACGACACTAATAGAAAATCGGGCTTCCAGGTGAACCCAAGGGGGTGCCTTCATTTTACCCCATCGGAGCCCCTGGTTCCGTGCGGCATGGATCACCTGCAGTGTGTGGCTGAAGACACAGTGCGGCAGGGATGCCCAGGTCGCTGTCCCACAGAACCCAACAGGGAACATTCGGGGAACCCAAGTGGCACTTACTAATGGGGGCCCCTCACAGCCTCCGGTTCCTGGAGCTGATCATTCAGAGCATGGTAAAGCTCAAGATGTGAAGGAAAAAATAACCGACTAAATTAAAATTTGGAATAAAAAAATTACGACAATCAGAAACTTTGAATGAGCCAAGAAGGAAGTACTTATCAACGGATAGTAGTGAATCCATATTCTTACTAGACAGAGACCTTTAAAAATCCAAAAGAAAACGGGGCTCCTGGGTGGCTCAGTCCGTTAAGTGTCTGGCTCTTGATTTCAGCTCAGGTCATGATCTCACTGTTTGCAGGTTCGAGCCCCACGCCAGGCTCTGTGCTGACCTGCTTGGAATTCTCTCTCTCTGTCTCTCTCTCTGCCCCTGCATCACTTGTTCTCTCTCTCCCTCTCTTAAAATAAATAAATAAACTTAAATAAAAGCCAACTTAAATAAAAGCCAAAAAGAAAAAACATGCAATTACCCAGTAGAAAATAAGGGTACTAATACGAATTTACAAAAGAAGAAATTCAGGTGTCCAGTCAACATCTGAGAAGCATTGAACTTCAGCAATAATCTAAGAAATTAAAAATAAGCAGGAGGATACTATTTTTTAATTAAATTGGAAAAATATAATGGGGGCACCTGGGTAGCTCAGTCATTTGGGCATCTGACTTCGGCTCGGGTCATGATCTCCCAAGCTGTGGGTTCGAGCCTCGCGTCAGGCTCTGTGCCGACAGCTCAGAGCCTGGAGCTGCTTCAGATTCTGTGTCTCCCTCTCTCTCTGTCTCCTCCCCCCCCCATTCTGTCTCTCTCATAAATAAATAAACTTAAAAAAAAAGAAAACAAAGAAAAATATAGTGATAATCCTCAGTGTTAAATGGAAAGCATGAGGAGCCAGGGCATCTCGTCCCGACAGTGAGAAGGTAGATGCTAAAGTCTTGTTAAAGGGATTTGACAGTTTTAAAATTTGGAAATACCCTCTGAGCAAGCAGTGCCGGGTTTAGGCATCACCCTAAATGAGCGGCAGTGGGTCTGCCTAGCAACAAGAAGATTCCTCTCCGCTTTGCTAATATTAGTGAAATGCCTCAAATGTCCTGGGAAATCAGTGAATAAACTGTGGTTCATCCGTACACTGAAACACTATACGGTCAGCAAGTTTTGCCTTGTAAACAAAGACTGGACGATCAAGGGAAATGGCCCCCCGGTGGGGCAGATCCTGGGGCCCAGGTTGCAGATTCAAAGTGCGTGTCTGCCTGGGCGTTCTTATCACAAGAGCGAGTGTCTCTTGACCAGAACGTGACTCAAAAGTCTTCCTTTCCTTCTTATTATTTGTACTGTTTTTTTTTCTTTTCTGAATTTTCTGCAAGTGCCGGGTCTTACTTTCGCAGCCCGAGGAAACAGTGCTTTTTAGAGGCGAGGGCGTGCACCAGCCAGCCCTTCATCTGGACTCTGCTCACCCCT